TTCTACCTCAGTCTAAGTATACAACCAATGTCATTGAATGTGCTCATCCACTGATACTCGAACTGTTGATACTCCTCTTGAGACTAACGTTCGGTATTCTTCATTTGATGGTGTACCTTTGATAGATCATACTTTATATCGTACTATTGTTGATTGCTTGGTATATTTTACTATTAATCGTCCAGATATGTTCCATCCTTTGATAGAGTCACGCACCTATTTGAGTGAAATCGTTTGAAGCTATAGGTATAGGTATTATTGCAGGACAATCGATTGGAGAACTGGGTACTCAATTAACATTAAGAACTGTTCATACCGGCGGAGCTGAGGAGCCAAGTGACATGCCAGCGCTACTAATTGAGTGCTAGCATGTAGCTTTGCAAAGTAGATGGAGTGGTGATCAAGCGGCCCACAAAATTCTTCCAACTTTGGTTCAAATCTAATTTCAAATGGAGGAATATGTTGTTCATATTGTCAGTCAGTTTGTTGCATCTCTATTACAGTTCATTGGGCTGCTGTTGTTCCTATTTTGTGTTATCTTCGTGGCACTTGTTTCCAGAGTCTCTTATTTCCATCGACCTCATCTTTAGAGCTACGTATGTACACTGATGCTGACTAGACTAGTGATCCAACTAATCGTAAATCTACCACTATTGGTTCAAATCTAATTTCAAATGGAGGAATATGTTGTTCATATTGTCAGTCAGTTTGTTGCATCTCTATTACAGTTCATTGGGATGCTGTTGTTCCTATTTTGTGTTATCTTCGTGGCACTTGTTTCCAGAGTCTCTTATTTCCATCAACCTCATCTTTAGAGCTACGTATGTACGCTGATGCTGACTAGACTAGTGATCCAACTAATCGTAAATCTACCACTCGTTTTTGTGTATTTTTGGGTGATTCTCTTATTTCTTGGAAAAGTAAGAAGCAAACTGTTGTTTCTCAATCTTCTACCGAGGCTGAGTATCATGCTATGGCATCCACTACTACTAAAGTTATTTGGTTGCATTGGTTACTTGCAGATGTGATAATAAGAGCGCTATTCAGATATCTCACAACTCCGTGTTTCATGAGTGGAAAAAGCACATTGAAATCGATTGTTATCTCATTTGTCACCATCTTTAGCATGGCACTCTTACTCTACCTTTTGTTTCTTCTTCGATGCAACGAGCTGATTTTTTCACGAAATCACACGCTGTTTAGCATTTTCGCTTTTTTATCAACAAACTATCGATGCTTCTCACTGTCACATCGTGAGTTTGAAGGGGGGTGTTAGGAAAAATAGTTAGTTTCTATCTATCTTATTGTTAAAAGGTAGAATGGTAGATTTATTTACTTGATTACGGCAGTTTAGTCTTTTTGCTATTTTACTATTTATTCACTTGTAATCTCATTTTCCTTGTAATATGATTTTGGGCAATCACTTATTCTGCCAAGTTTGTTTGGAGCGCTAGCCTCCATTTTTGGCTTGTTGGTTTCTTCTTCATTTTGCTATCACAAATTGCACAGAATGAATTGCTTAAGTTCATGGTAGTCAAAATTTATACCAACATATAAGATTCTTCTATGGCTTTCATATGCTTAAAACTTCGATTTAGTAATTTAATGATGAACCTCTAGGAATAGGGAATAATTCTAAATATGAGAAGCTGTATTTTAGAGTCTTCATTTGTATTTATTGAAAACAAGCTAGGAAACATAAATACAAAACTTTTGGGAAACATTATAAGCATACACCATGTGAAAATACGGGTTCACAAAGATGAAGTCCAACAAAATCTTGAGTTTCCCCTTTAGCTTTGTTAATAGTCATTGCAAAACAAGGACGTATGAGAAACTAAATTCTTTTAAATGGTACTGAATGTTTATCACCTTCAAGTGGAATGAATGGAATTCTCAATAAAAATACTTGTTTCCCACAATATTCTCCTGTTCCAGTCTCAACTAAAATAATATTTTGTTTAAACTTTAGTTCTATTACATCAGAGGCGGAGCCAGGATTTCAGTTTAGTCTGGCAAAAATTTTTCGATGCCATTCTAAGCAACATAATCGGGCAATTTTTTTCAGCAAAAGTTCATGTGGAGGAATACCATTTGAAGTTAGATTGTTTGAAAAATCTTCATGAATAAATCTTTCAATTTTATCAATGACTTCATCAAAACTAAAATATGTAAATATCTTTCCTGGAATTAAATTAAGTAACATATTTTTTGTTACATCTACATATTATTTTTCCGAAGTTAAATTAATTATGTTCATCATAATATGAAAATTGTATCCACGTGTTTGAAAATTGGGAAACACTATGCTAATTATCTCTTTCAATAATTTAAAATCATTTTCAAATTCTATGATAATATCTTAAGGAAGCATAATCATGTGGCATTAATGTTTTTTCTCAATTCTATTTCTAATGTTTGGTAAATATTCCCAAAAAATGGATTCAATTTAGCTCTCATATTCGGGAGTACTAGTGGTTGGATAAAATAATGCCATAAATTTGAAAAATTAAACTTGCCTTCATTTTATCATCTTTTGTTCCTTTTTGTACTATAGGTGAAACTTGACAAAAATCTCCTCCATACACATTGACTTTTCCACCAAATGGTAAATCACATTTATTAATGTATCTTAACATTTTATCTAAAACTTCGAAAGCACATCTATGCACCATTGGTGCTTCTATTCATACAATTTGCTTAGCTATTTTTAAAAGTTTACCAAGTGCATATTGTTTACTTACGGAACATTGCATATTGGAACTTCTTTCAAGCGAAATTTTAAACCATAAATGACTAGTTCGATAGTTGGTAGTAAAGAAGCAACTATTCCTACTAATGTAATAAGATTTTGAGATAGTACTGCAATAAGTAATGTCTCGTATAAATATGTTTTTCCAATCACTCTCTCAAGTGTATTATCGGGTCCATACATATCACAATGAACTAGTTTCAATACATCTTTAGCTCTCTCTTTTTGTAAAAATAAAAAGATATCCTTGTCATATTGCCTTCCAAACAAGAATCACAAATTGACAATGGTTCGATCTTAATTGAGTTGAAAGAACCATCTCTAGTCAATTTTTGTATTCTATTAAGGTTGATTTGTCGAGACACCATAGATATGTATCACTAGTATGGTGCAACATTTTATGGTTTATAAGAGTAACCTTTTTATTTCATATGTGGAATTGTTTAAAATATAAAGACCATTAATCAAATGTCCAGTGTAGATAGAAACTTTATTCATTAAAGTGCTAAACGTATCAGACACTGATTTTATAGAACCTTGTCCTATTAAAAAAAAATCAAATTTCTACTTCATTTGCGGGACATAATAGATGCTTATCACTAAATATAAAACTTTATTGCAATTACAATTAAATCCAAAACTATTTTAGTTACCGTAATTAAGTTCATGTACTTTATAGAGATACTACATGGACATGGCTGGACATATGTTATACAAGCTTCAATAATTAGATCCTATCTAATTGACTCTAGGCTACTCAATCTAATTATTAGTCTTTGCTTTTTTCACTAAAGGCAGAAGCCTAAAATCTTGGAATATATAAGATCACAGAAGTCAATAAATCTGTAATGCTTTCATTTGACTTGTAATATATATAGTTTATCTATGTCTAAGATCCAATAATTAGGTATGAGCATAAATGACCATTTTGCCCTTCTAATTATCCTCACTAATTTAAGTATCATTTTCTTCAAAGATCATGTTAACTAATCACAAATGTTGAAGTTTAGCCATCACTAAACACCGAACTCAAATTTTAACCGTTAAACAGAAAATTATAAGTTGTCACTCTACCCACATTTCAAGATGATGGCTCCCGACACTAATTCATGTTTTCCAGTTTGTTCATTCTGAAGTTCTCAAATCATCAAGATATTTGAGCAATCAAACTGATCTCACTCGTTGATAAATCATGAATCATTAAAATCATGAAAATATAGACATAACCATGTCAAGAGATTTAGATGAAATACACATGGATCAAGTGGAATTTAATTCTCCACACAATTTTGTTATAAAATTAAACTCGACACATGATTTGTTCAATACACTCTAAGTGTACTGGATCACCTTTAACTATATCTGTGATGAGAACAAATTGCAAATCTCAATAGTGAATTAGTCAACATTAAAACCTTCCAGTACAAGATGCCAACCCTTATACATTTGTTGTGAATAAATAATTTATAATTAAAATATTATTTGTGTCACACTGTATTTCCCAACACAAGTACCTAACTTATATTATCACAAGTGATCATAGGCACTTTAATTTGCATGCTCAATAATAAATAGATACAATTAATAAAAAAAAATTATTTATTATAAATTATTAATTTATCATAACAAACTATACTATATGATAGAAAACCCAACTAGGAAAACATTGGTTTGAAAATGTATATGCAATTAATTTTTGGGTTGGCCCGGAAATGCCAATTGGGCAAACCATTGTTTCGTGTAGTGTTCGCGCACAAAAATCAAAAAGCAAATAAGATTTGGAGACAACTCACAATTTCATTAAATTTTAATCAAAGTCCAACCAAGAAAATGACAATGAATAAAGTGTTAAATAATAATTCTCATACAAGATAACGCTAAATCGTAATAAAAATGAAAGAATCTTACTTAATTATAGAACATAAAAATAAGGTAAAATAATATGTTAAAGGAAACAGAAGATTTAATTCAACTATGGCGGATATTCATGTCTATCACCTTCTATAGTTGCCAGTTCAAAGAAATTAACGTGCCAAAGAAAATCGCTCACACAAACAATAGCATAGGATACCGTTTTATAAATTTGAATGCTATTATGTAGTCTTTAAAGATCGAATTAGTAAATATAGTTAGTGGCATTCATATTTCATAATCAAAAGGAAATTCTTAAATGTGCAAAAATAGTTAATCCTCAATAACTTTAAAGTGAAGGCATACAAATGCTAATTAATGAAATTCGAAACAAAAATAAAACAAAATAAAAAACTAAATGGTCATTTATTCATTATTCATTGTTTATTTATGCTTAGATAACAAATTGTTCAGGGCACGTATGCCTTTTATTGAGTATATAAATACTGGAAAACCAATACATATTCTTCTTTTACCATGGCGATACTGGTGGAACACTTTGTTCATTTCTAAAGAAATTTGTTGGATCCGCCTTACTCTTGATATGAACCAATCTTCTAAAGTTATGCTTAAAGTACTTAAATCCCCAAACACTTGCTTGTTTGTAGCTCGTATTCCCCTCAATGCTGTTCATTCCAATATCCAAATCTCTGTAATTGAAATATGCAGCTCTTGGTGATTTTGACACATAACGAGCCATATAAGTGTAAAGCTTCCGGATCCAATTTATATGCCTTCCGGATTTTGCGTTCTCTTCTTCACTCCAGCCCACACCATAGTGGATCATGAATATGTTGCCTGATCGATGTGGGAAAGGAATTTCTGATTCTGAGATATTGTAAATTCTCCCTCCATATGGACTGAATTGCAATTCAGCCCTATTTACATCTTCCTGGTTAAGAAACTTCCATATGCCTTTTAGACCATATTCTGGAATTGGTTGCTTCACGTAATCGGATTTTCCTTTGAAATACCTCGTGGAAGCTTGAGTTCTATTCAGCAAAATGTCCGAAGATCGGCCCTGGAAACCTGCAAAAAAGAGTATGGACTCTATCCATCGCATTTCAGTACAATCTTCTTTCACCAAACTCAACTCTGGGAATTTCTCTTGCATTATAATAAGAAGATCATCAACTCGACCTAGGTACAAAGAAGTGAAAGAAGCTCTTATTGTCCTCTTTCCTGAAGAGTTGATGCTTCTTAAGAAGAGCCTTAACAAAAGATTGTCATCAATCTTGTCAGCAACATATTGCCATCTGTGTACTAGCTGGGTTGCATTTTGTTCTAACGTTCTTGTAACATTAAAAACTGTCACAGTTTCCGGAATTACAATTAATTTCACCTCAAATGCAACCACAATTCCAAAACTGGTACCTCCACCTCCTCTAATGGCCCAGAAGAGATCTTCTCCCATGGATTCTCGGTCGAGAATTTGGCCATTAGCATCAATGAGTTTGGCATCAATGATGTGATCTGCAGCAATACCATGTTTACGTGACATCATGCCATATCCTCCGCCACTGAAGTGCCCTCCAACACCCACAGTAGGGCAAACACCGGCTGTGAACGCCAAAGTCTTGCTTTTCTGAGAGATTGTATAATAAAGTTCACCAAGTGTTGCACCTGTTTGAACCCATGCAGTGTTTTTTTCTGTGTCAATGGATATTGATCGTAGGTTTCTCATATCCACTATGAAAAATGACGTTTGAGATATGTATGAAAGTCCTTCGTAGTCATGTCCACCACTTCGGACTTTTAGCTGAATCCCATGTTTTTTAGAGCAATAAATCGCTGCTTGAATTTGAGATTCATGCTCTGGTGTAATGATTACGACAGGTTTCTGGCCAGACTTTGATGCTGGGCGTAGATTACGTATTGAAGACTGGAAAATAGATGAATATGATGCATTTAATGGGGTGTAAATAGAATCAGACTCTGAGTTGGATTTTCGAAACTGAAGGCTAAGGCATTCAAGAAAATCATTTTCAGTATGAGCAGAAGAAGCTCCCGAAATTAAAATGAATGCCAAAAGAATAAATGGGATCATACTACCTGAAATCTGCATACTATTTTTTTTTTCTCCCTCTAATTTGTTGCTTATCTATGAACAAAGTTTCATGCATTTATAGATGTTTTTCAGTGACTTTTCTAAATGCGTGTGAAAATGAATTATTATGCCTCGTGAATTATTTTATATCACATAATTCAACCTTCCATTATTATCCTTTTAATTCCTGCAAAAGCTGGGAAAATAGGAATATATGGCAGGGTGATGTGGAATTATTCAATTTCTCAAACGAAGGTGTAAAAATAATTATTAAAAAATGCCTCAAGGTATGAATATTTTTTAAGGCAATCCTATTTTAATACAGGTCGGAGATTATCAATGCAAAGAAGTTGAAAAATGTTGCAATTTGTCCTCAAAGAAACTTTCAACTTGTTGAATAAATAATTTGTCTTCTACCTTCTTTTCCAATGCACAATTGTTTCAAGGATATCACTTCTGGAACAAGTGGATAAAATAACAAGATGTCAATATAATATATCTTTATTCACAGAGGATAATGCTTATGAGAAATGAAGATTTTGCATAATTAAAAGTATTTCATAGTTATTATCCACCACATGGAACTCTAATCTATTTGCAGCATGAATTAGGCTTGTAAAATGGAAGCATTAGTTTGTGTTTTTAAACTGAGATATTTCAAGGTATCCAAGAAATTCATTTTTGCTATAAATTGAGGCAGTCTCATAATAGGAAGAAGTGCCAAAGGAAATAATTTCAGGAGTCTCTATTAAATTTAGTATTCGTTAACCTGATCACTTGTATATGGATACATATGCTTCAAATGACCTTTCGAATTTACTAATGCTAATATTTAGAACATATTTAGTATTTTAGACTGAGCAGTGTCGAACACGATTTAAGGGGAATGATAAGAGAACCTCATTACAAGAATCTACTCATGCAATCTTCTTGCAGTGCTGGAAATATCTAATTTTTACAGAGATATTTGTACACAGTTGTAAGATAGTTGTCATATATATACATTGACTTAGTTATTGCAGTTGGGGGCATTCAAATTAAAAATAAATCTTATATTGTTAATCTAGATTATACCATTGTAAAAATAAATCTTACCGATTCCTCTCGACAAATGGTATACTTGATCTCCCGTAAGTCCTTTTGTCAAAGGATCTGCTAAACTTTCTCTTGACTTAACATAGTTAATCAAGATTATACCATTCGATATCAATTTTTTAATTGTATTGTGTCTTTGACATATATGTCGAGATTTGCCATTATAAATTTTTTCTGTGCCCTTGGAATTGTCGATTGATTATCTCAATGTATACTGATTGCAAGTACCAATTTTTCCCAACATGGGATTTCTAAAGCCATTCTACTTCTTCTCTAGCTTTATCTAAAGCATTAAACTCCGACTCTATCGTAGATCAAGATTTAAAAGTTCGCTTAGATGATTTCCAAGACATGGCTCCACGTCTAATGGTGAATACATAACCACTTGTGGATTTCGAATCCTTTATGTCAGATATCCAATTTGCATGGTGTATCCTTCTAATACTGCATGATATCTTGAATAGTGTAATCCATATTCAACCGTATGTCTTAAGTATCTAAGAACTCGGTTTAGCGCCTTCCAATGTTCCGTATTATGATCACTTGTAAATGTACTCAACTTGTTTACTATATACGCTATATCCGGATGCGTGTAGTTGGTAATGTGTATCAAATTGCCTATGATGCGTGAATACTCTAATTGAGAGACAAGATCACCATTATTCTTGACTAAATGTGCACTCAAATCAACCGGTGTCTTAACCGGTTCATTGTCATACACCCTAAATTTCATAAGTATAGTCTCAACATAATGTGATTGAGACAATGAGAAGCCATCAAATGTACTAGATATCTTAATCCCCAGTATCACATCGGCTACTCCCATGTCTTTCATGTCAAAATGTTTGATCAACATTTTTTTGGTTGAGGAAATGATATATGAGTCATTTCCCACAATCAACATATCGTCAATATGCAAGCATACTATTACATATTCGTTAGGTGTGGTTTTAATGTAGACACACTTGTTACACTTATTAATTTTGACAACATCATTTTGTCAAATTTTTCATGCTATTGCTCCTGTGCTTGTTTTAATCCATATAGCGATGTGACAAGCTTGCACACCTTCTTCTCATTTCCAGGAGCAGCAAACCTTTTAGGTTGTTACATAAAACTTTCCTCTTATAATTCATTGTTTAGAAATACTGTTTTAACATCCATTTGATGTATTTCAAGATTGTGCAATGCCACGATTGAAATCAAGACACATATATACATGATATTTATTACAGGTGAATGGATATCGAAGAAATCTAGGCCTTCTTTTTATCTATATCTTTTATCTACTAATCGACATTTATATTTTTCGATTGATCCATCAGCTTTCAACTTCTTTTTAGCAATCTAATGGTTTGTTTCTCGGAGGAAGATAAACTAATTCTCAAGTGTGGTTGCTCATGATGGATTCAATCTCATTATTTATCATTTTCTTCCAAAAGGGAGCTTTTCAGGTGAACATTGCTTCATCAAATGTCCTTGGATCATTTTCTAACAAGTTAGTGATGAATTTCAGACCAAATGTCTTGGGAATTCATTACCTCTTACTGCGTCTTGGTTCTTCATTTATTTGAAGATTTCTGCCATTTTCATGATGGTTTCCAATTACAATATCATATGTTCATTTATGGGAACTTGTGTCCTTTTCCTTATATGGAAAGGTATTTTCAAAGAATACAACATTCCCTGACTCAAATATAATACCTTCATGTACGTCAAGCACTTTGGATTTGTGGACCAAGAAACAATATGCACTATTGTTATGTTTATAACATATCCGATAAAGACAATCAAAAGTTTTAGGTCCAATCATTGTTTTTTTGGGCTTAGGTACTTGTACATTTGCCAAACATCCCACACTTTCAGATATTTGCAAGAAGCCTTTCAACCCCTCCATAGTTCAGAATGTGACTTATCCTTAATTTTGTATGGTATTTTATTCAGAATATTTTTTTTGGATAAGATAAGTATATTATATCCAAAGTATAAAAATAAGTACAAATCACAGGGGCATACCCCAGGAAACAATGCTAGGAATTAATGCCTTCCTAACAACAATGACAAAACTCTAGAAAAGTGTTCATATTCTAATCACGAGAACAAAAAATATCTGTAGAAAACCCCCAAGAGCATTGGAGCCATCTATTTTCATTAGATGGAACCAAGCTCCTGCACAAATTCACTCATGCACAAATAGTAAAAACAATATCTTGAATAACAGTAGACTCATTTTTAGGAGCCTCTCCATGGGTCCAAGCATTGCGTTCATGCCAAATAGCATAAATCGAAGCCACAAATATTAACTGAATAACAATGGAGGATATTGACCTCCCTCGAAATTGTTCCATCCAAGAAAGAGTGTCTAGCCAACTCCGTTGGACCCAAGGCAAGTTACACTTCGCATGCAGAGCATTCCAAACACGCTCAGAAAATGGGCAAGCAAAGAAAAGATGATCCAGATCCTCCACTGAACATCCACATAACACATAATGCATAGACTATACCAAACCAAAGCTAAGAAGCTTTGTCTGTGTATAGATGCCACCTTGAATTGCTAACCAAAGGATAAATGCATGTCTAGGAATACATTTAGGAAACCATACAATGTGATACCAAGTCACCCTAGGGCAGTGAAGTCGAAAAGACTCCTATGCACTCCGAACAGAGAAGACTCCATGTGTATCATCCTCCCATCGCAATACATCCTCTCTATTACTGTCCGACCGAAAAGTATCAAGCGTATCTCACATCAAATCAGACAAAGCTAGGGAACGAACTGATGGCCATCTCCAAGTATCACCCTCCACAATATCAGGCACTTTAGCTAGTCTACTCAATCTGGATTCACGAATGATCCTCTCTCCAAGAATCTTTTCTAAAGGGCCAAGAGGATGCCAATTATCATACCAAAGCGAGGCACGTCTACCATTCCTAATTCTAATTTTCATTTTGTCCCTCCTTATATCCTGAAGTCCAAGAATTTTCCTCCAACTCCAAGAACAATCCCCAGGACACTCCAATTCCCAAATGCTCCATCCTCTAAGTAAATAACAACGTTTCCATGAAACCCAAAGAGAGGAGGTAGAATTCGAACAAAGGGACCAAAGATGCTTTAACATGACAGCCTTATTCCATATCTCCAAGCCCCATAGACCCAAACCACCCTCCTCCTTAGGCATACAGATTTTTGCCCAAGCCACTTTAGCCCCACCGGTGCCAAGGTCACTACCCTTCCACAAGAAGGCCCGTAGTGAATTTTCCACTTGCTTGATCACAGCCTTGGGTAAAAGAAAAATAGAGGACCAGTAGACCTGAATAGAAAATAACACTGACTTAATAAGTTGTAACCTCCTTGCATAGGAGAGTGCTCGATAGGTCCAACTCTTAGCCCTAGCTATAATACTGTCTACCAGCATCTTACAATCCAAAGCCCTCAATTTGGTAGAGATTAGCGGAACACCAAGATAACGTACTGGTAGCACGCCCTCCTTATACCCCAAAACATCAAGCAACTGATCCTTAAGATATGTAGAAACACCACTGGCAAATAAATTACTCTTNAATCAAAGACGCAAATATTAACCGAATAACAATGGAGAACATTGACCTCCCTCGAAATTGTTCCAGCCAAGAAAGAGTGTCTAACCAACTCCGTTGGACCCAAGGCAAGTTACACTTCGCATACAGAGCATTCCAAACACGCTCAGAAAATGGGCAAGCAAAGAAAAGATGATCCAGATCCTCCACTGAACATCCACATAACATAAAACGCATAGACTATACCAAACCAAAGCTAAGAAGCTTTGTCTGTGTATAGATGCCACCTTGAATTGCTAACCAAAGGATAAATGCATGTATAGGAATACCTTTAGGAAACCATACAATGTGATACGAAGTCACCCTAGGGCAGTGAAGTCGAAGAGACTCCTAAGCACTCCGAACAGAGAAGACTCCATGTGTATCATCCTCCCATCGCAATACATCCTCTCTATTACTGTCCGACCAAAAAGTATCAAGCGTATCTCGCATCAAATCAGACAAAGCTGGAGAGTGAACTGATGGCCATCTCCAAGTATCACCCTCCACAATATCAGCCACTTTAGCTAGTCTACTCAATCTGGATTCATGAATGATCCTCTCTCCAAGAATCTTTTCTAAAGGGCCAAGAGGATGCCAATTATCATACCAAAGCGAGGTACGTCTACCATTCCCAATTCTAATTTTCATTTTGTCCCTCCCTATATCCTGGAGTCCAAGAAGTTTCCTCCAACTCCAATAACAATCCCCAGGACACTTCAATTCCCAAATGCTCCGTCCTCTAAGTAAATAACAACGTTTCCACGAAACCCAAAGAGAGGAGGCAGAATTCGAACAAAGGGACCAAAGATGCTTTAACATGGCAACCTTATTCCAAATCTCCAAGCCCCGCAGACCTAAACCACCCTCCTCCTTAGGCATACAGATTTTTGCCCAAGCCACTTTAGCCCCACCGATGCCAAGGTCACTACCCTTCCACAAGAAGGCCCGCAGTGAATTTTCCACTTGCTTGATCATAGCCTTGGGTAAAAGAAATACAGAGGACCAGTAGACCTGAATAGAAAATAACACTGACTTAAAAAGTTGTAACCTCCCTGCATAGGAGAGCGCTCGATAGGTCCAACTCTTAGCCCTAGCTATAATACGGTCCACCAGCATCTTACAATCCAAAGCCCTCAATTTGGTAGAGATTAGCGGAACACCAAGATAACGTAACGGTAGCACGCCCTCCTTATACCCCAAAACATCAAGCAACTGATCCTTAAGATATGTAGAAACACAACTGGCAAATAAATTACTCTTATCTGTATTAGGAATAAGTCCAGAAAGAGCTTTGAATCGATTAAGGCATTCCCCAATGATCGAGACAGAACCAACCTCAGCTCTACAAAAGACCATAAGATCATCAACAAAATATAAGTGGGTGATCTTCTCCTTCTCACATCTCCAGTGGTATTTAAAGTCCTGTTCAGCAACCATCAATCCCATTAGCCCCGAAAAAGCCTCTATAGCCAAGATAAACAAGTAGCGCGACAAAGGATCTCCTTGTCTTAGACCTCGCCCACCAGCAAAGAATCCATGCAGTTCCCCATTAATGGAAATCGAAAATCGAGTGGTAGTGACACATGAGTAATCCACCTAACAACTCTCTCAGGAAAACCAAGCACCATTAAAACTGCAAAGAGGAAATCCCAACGAACAGAATCGTATGCTTTCATGAGATCAACTTTAAGAGCACACCTAGGTAATCCTCCCCTGCGGTGATAATTCCTCAACAACTCTTAAGAAAGAAGGATATTATCACTAATATGCATACCTTTAACAAAAGCAATTTGTTGAGGTCCAACAATGTCTGGGAGCACCATTTTAACTCTATCGGCAATAAGCTTAGCAATAGATTTATAAATACTATTGCAACAGGAGATAGGCCTAAATTCCTTTACCTGAGAAGGATTTGGAACCTTAGGAACCAATGTGATGGTAGTAGCATTGACTTGCTTCAATAGCTTCCTCGAGTCAAAGAAGGACTTAATGGCAGATAGCACATCATTTCCCACAATATTCCAAGTCCTCTTCAAGAAACCTGCATTAAAACCATCAGGCCCTGGAGCCTTATTGTCTTTCAACGAGAACAAGACCTCTTTAATTTCCTTAAATGACACATCTCTATCAAGATTTTCATTCTGCACTGCAGAGATACTTTTAGGAAGAGCTTTACGGAGCAAGTTCGTATCTAGACTCTCACCAGTAGGCTGCTGACCAAGGAGATTTTGATAGAACGCAACAATGGCTTCACTGACCTCATGCGGCTCCTCCACTCTAGTACCATCGTCTTTACAAATAGAAACCACCTTACTCTTCCCATAGTGACTTTTCATAGCCTTGAAGAAGAAAGCAGTGTTTTGGTCTCCTAAATTCAGCCACTTAACATGAGCTTTTTGTCTCAAAAAGCCTTCTTCAGCCCTGCTCAACTTACAAAGTTCCTTTTGTAACCGAGACTCCTCCCTATGTAGAGATGAATCCAAAGGCGATTGCTGAATCAAACACAGAACATGCTCTATATCAGTCCGAGCATGAGTAAATCTTGTAGGAAGTTCTGAAAAATGCTCCTTATTAAAGTTTTTCAAGGCAAGCTTTAACTTCTTCAACTTTGAACACAGACAAAACATTGGGGTTCCCAATACTGTTTCACCCCAAACCTGAGCCACCAAAGGAAAGAAATCTGAATGATCCATCCAATAATCAAAGAAGGGGGATGGAATCTTCCTACGCGGTAACTCTGCAACCTTTACAACCATAGGTGAATGATCCGACACACCAGCAGTACGAAATGTAGCTGACGATCCCGAAAATTTTTCCTCCCACTTCGAATTCACCAATACACGATCTAGTTTCTCGAGAGTAGGATCAGATACATGCTTATTAGACCATGTATATAAACAGCCATCAAACTTCAAATCGACCAACCCTACTGTCGCCATGCACTTCCCAAGATCAACTTGCCATGCAGGCCAAGAAGAAGAACCACCTGCCACTTCTGAAGGAGAAATCCTAAGGGATATGGGGATTCTTAAGAAATTCCTAAGAAATGTTGGTGTGTTATGCTATTTTTATATTTATATCATGTGAAAAGGATGTGCACGTATTCTTACTGAGTGTTTTCAAAATACTCACTCTTACAATATTTTCAGATAAGAACGGGTCGTGAGGACGTGTAGAAGATTGACGGAGCGATGCTAATGTGGTCGTCAAGTAAAATTTCTAGAAAAGACAATAGTCAATTTATATAAAGAATATCTTTGTGTTAATATTTATGCACGATATTTATTATGTTGTTTAATAATTTGAAATCAAATATTTTCGATATATTTCCGCCTAAATTAGATAGAGAAAAGTTTTGGTAGAACCCTGAGCTCATTTTTATTTAAAAAATAACAATAATAATGAAAAAGCGTTCGAGGCGTTACAATTTAACCCCCTGACATTCCAGCATCCAAAAGACATAATTAAAGTCAAGGAGAGAATCACAATCTCAAAATGACTAGCGCCATCTACCTCCCCTAGGGGAGTGATGCTTCTTGCCTTTTTAATGCTTGCCTCCTGACCCATTCTTCTTTTTCTGAAGTAAATCTCTAGCTTTTGTAGCTAACGTGTTAGGCTGCGAAACAGAAGTATCATTATCATCTTCACCTAGAATGGCAAGAGGATCTAGAAAAACTTCACCTTCTTCCCCAATTTGAGAAGTCTCAATAGGCACATTCGACACCTCCAGATGCAAATTAGGAGCACTAGGTGGAGAAGATTTAGCAACATCTACATGAGCCACATTGACAACCACCAGATCAACCTCTCCTTGGACCTCCTTAGAAATAGGCACATCAACCCCAGAATCAACACTAATTGTAGACTTCCTCTTATGTGAGACATGTGTCCATTCATCCTCAATAGGTGGTTTCTCATTAGCTACTCCACTTTGTCCAGCCTTATCTTTAGCAACCCAAACTTTTGCAAGCTTACCCTTACTCTCACTAGGCATAGTTTGAGAAGAGAAATTGTGGCCAAATACTCCACATTTCGAACATTTAATGGGGACCCATTCAAACTGAGCGCGAATAGTTATCCAATCTCCATTCGTGCAACAGAAGTCAAAATCCTCCACTAACTCCTCCAATGCATTAATCTCAACACAAACACGTGCATAACTAAGACGTCTACGCGCAAGAGTGATCGCATCTGCCCGTAGAGGACGTCCCACAGCACTAGCTACATGACTCAATCCCTATGTCGTCCAGTACTGAAAAGGAATATTATAAAGTTTCACCCAAACAGGAATGCAACGTAAGTTCTCCTTAGCCGGAGTCATATTAGGTTGCCAAAGCTTCAAAATAAGCGGCCTGCTAGCCATATGCCAAGGCGCTCCTTCAAGAACTAATAAAGCTTGGTGGAGAGAATCAAACTTGAAAAAATAGAACCCAACGTCTGAGGATAGAACCTCCTTAAGGCCAAATCTGTCTCACAATTTTTAAGCAATAGAATTCACTACAGGAAAAGCTAATTTCTTGTCAACAAATGAACCAACCAAAGTCATCCTCCACATTTCACAACCCGAGATAGCCACATCTACAAGCGGTACCACCTTCACTCGACCATTATCAAACTGGGGCTTAGCATAATTTAATTCCAGAGGATATGTATCTAAGTCTAAGTCATTTACTTGAGACCCATTTAACACCTTAGCATATGTTTTTGGTTTCAATTGTCCCAATTCACCCTCAATTGAATGATTAGGTGCTGAATTATTCACTTGCAAAACACAAGGTTCACCAATTGAAACACCCTTATCACACGATCCCATTTGGAAAGTTTCTGCGTTCTGAACATTGAGAATCTTAGCTGCATTGGTTGATAATACTCCATAAGAGTCGTCGGCTAGGGTAGTGAAGATATTTGGAGGATGATTCGAAGAATGGGTGTGGCTGGAAATATGGGCGGTGCTTGGGTCGACCGCGGTTTGGATGGAGGTCATGGCTGATTTAGGTGGCATGAGGCCAGATGGGATGGGGGAGGGTTGTTTTGTGTTAAGGGTGGGAGGGTTTTTGGAGATTGGGGTTGTTACCGGCGAAATAGTGGGCGGGTGTTAGTGGGAGGTTGTAGACGACGGTGAGAGGATTACGGTGCTGGGTGATTCCAGTGGCTTGGGCGGCGGGTGGTGCTGGTTTTTGGTTGGAGGTAGTGGCGGCTCCCCTAGCTTTCTCCCATAAATTTTGATGTAAGCCTAAACTTATTAACATTGTATTCATAATTTTCTTAAGGGTTCGATTCTTTCGTTCAGCAACCCCGCTAGATTGAGGTGAGTATGGTGTAGAATTTGATGTATGATCCTAGACTTTCTACAAAACTCTTCAAATGAAGCAACATATTCTCTACCTCGATCGCTACGAATCATTTTTATTCATTTTCCAAGTTGATTCTCAACTTCCGTTTTATAGTGTTTGAACACTTCCAACGCTTCATCTTTACTTTTCAACAAGTATACATAACAATCTTGTACAATCGTTAATAAAAGTGACGAAGTACTTTTTACTACCTAGTATTTGTACGAATTTCAAGTCACACACATCCGTGTGACAAGTTCCACAGGTGTCAAGGTTCATTCCACCAATTGAAATAGAGTTTTGGCAAATTTTGCCTCTACACATATTTTGCATTTTCTTTCATTATTGAAATGCATATTTGGAAGTACACTTAATTTCAACTTCCATATTGAATTATAATTCAAATGTCTTAATGTATGATGCCATAAATTGGACAACTTAACTACATATGCAGAATAAGATGTTTTATTTATAGTATTATTGGTACAATGGTAAGGAAATTCATTTTTAATAGTTCATCTTTGACATAGCCTTTGCCTACATACATATTATTCTTTGTAAGTACAAAATTATCTGACACAAAGACTAATTTGAACCCATTCTTGCTTAGCAAGGAACCCGATATCAAGTTCTTGCGAACATCAGGTATGTGAAGAACATTGTTGAGGGTAAGTTCATCACTCGATGTCATCCTCAAAATAAGTTTACCTTGTCCTTCCACTTTTGAAGTTGAGGAGTTTCCCATGAATAGTTTCTCTTTCTCAAGTGGAGTATAGGTGATGAACATTCCTCTATCGGCACATATGTGACGGTTAGCACCCATATCAACCCACTATTTCATAAGATTTCCAACATGGCTGCGTTCAGAAATGAAGGCAGACATGTTCATATAAACACATGCCATTAGATAATGCATCATATTCGATGATATTAGCTTGGTTTTTTTTTTTTTTTAGTTTACGACAATCAACGGAGCAATATCCACCTTTCCATAGTTGTAGCATTTGCTGTTGAACTTCTTTATGTTCTTCTTCGAGGGTTTCGCAGAATGCTTCATCTTCTTCCCTATGTTGCTGAACTCCACCACATTTGCATATTTGCTTGTAGTGATTGATGTCCAACTTGTTTGTCCAAATTTTGGTTGTCTTTTCCAAACCTCAATCGGACCACAAGTTCTTCAATATTCATCTCCTTGCGTTTATACTTTAGACAATATTTGAAGTCCCTCCACATAGGAGGGAGTTTTTCGATGATTGCAACCATTTGAAATTATTCACTTAGAGAAATATTCCCCGCGTGAATGTCATGAAGAATGACCTATAATTCTTGCACTTGACTGATGACCGTTTTGGAATCTACCATTTTATAATCTAAGAATTTTCCCACAATGAACTTTTTTAGCTCTTGCGTCTTCGATCTTATATTTCTTTTCCAAGGACTCCCAAAGTTCCTTCGCAGATTTCTTGGAACTATATACATTGTACAGCCCATTGTCCAAGCCATTCATAATGTAGTTCTTACATAGGAAATCTGAATGTTTCCATGTGATGCCCTATTGTTTTCCCCTTCTTGCACGGTAGGAGCATCTTCGTTTAAGAACTTTTTGAAGTTTAGGGTCGTGAGATAGAACAGTATTTTCTGTTGCTATCTCTTAAAATCAACCCCAATAAATTTCTCGGATTTTTCTCCATTTGGTATGAAGTTCGTATGGGCATTCACAATTGGAGGAATAACAACGGTGGGAGGAACATTTCCTTCCGAAGTTCCCATATTCAATTTGTTGTTCAAAGTAGAGTCGATATTGAGACCAAATTCATTTCTGTTTACATAAAAGAGAAGATCAACCAAATCAAAAAAAAGAGTAGAAGAAGTTAAACCAAATTAGTTTAACCGAACAAAGATCACACCAACAAACCAAAAGCACAAAATTCAACTTAAGATTGTTGGAAAATTTGGTGTATATGGAGTGATAATCAATGCCTGAAAAGTTACTTGAAACTTCGACGAAGTAATGGAAGAAACTTGATCAATCTTCTACAGAAATTTCAGCAGAATAACGACTAGACAACTTTAATGTAGGATGTCAAAAATTGTAGCAAAAATGCCAAACAATTGTAAGTTGAGGCAAGTGTTGAACACTTTGTCCTTAAGTAGAATTTGTCCCACTACAATACATACGGTTTTCCGGCAATTGACTGCCAAGATACAATGACTTCCTTCTTGTGTGAGTAGCACTCCACAAACAAGAATAGCGAACCAAAAGCTGGAATATATACTCCTTTTATGCAAATGAAGAAAACAAATATTTTACGCAACATATATGCAAAATATGGTTAAGAGAGAAAAGAGAATGAAATGCTATGATTGCATATCATTGGTGTGTGGAAAAAGACATCCCAAGTGCTCTATTTATAGATTATGAAGGGTTGGGGATGAAAGGATGAAAGTCAAATCTCGTAATCTTTCGAATAGATACACCACTTGACGTCGCTAGCTTTTTTCTTGAATTTCACTTGAGTACTAGTAACAGAGACTCCGTAGCTCATTCTTCGCTTGAGTGTCGCTTGAGCGAAAGACGAGCAACATATTTACCCAATTTTTCCTCCTTTTTCATCCAATTTTGAACCACAATTTCTCATTCATCTGGAATTGGTTTTATAACTTCAAATATACTGCAATGATCTAGTTGACGAGTAGGATAACTTGGTCTATTTACTTTCGTAATTTGACCATCGGATCTAATCTGAATATTTGATCAAAGATGAGATCGATTCACTTTTTCCAAGTTATACTTGATCAATTTTTTGATTATTTTGAACCAATTCCATCAATTTTCCTCCGGAAGCCCTACTTAGTAACTAGGATTGGGAGCTTGTTTGTGCCTTATTTTTCCTTGACCAACCTATATATGTTCTTTCTACAACCGAGCTCCCTCCAGTAGTTGAGTCCTTCGATGGCTATCGATTCTTGAGCAAGTTGGGGGGTTAGGCGGCAGTTGAGATAGCAAATCGAAAGCATGACGAACAGGTGAAATAGTCCAACCATTAAATTCCAAGATTTCCAAGAGTAATATTACTTCAAAGGAAAATTCGAAGAAACACTTATGTGGGATGTTTTCTTCCTTTCAACTATATAAACACAATATACCTGTAGTTGCAAAATGTGCTTCAAGCCTT